ACCCCTCAGGCTGGGGCAGCGGGTCATTCGGCTTCCCAGCCTGGGCCAGTTACTCTGGCACGGTGAGGTGCCCAGGGCAGAAGCTCACTCTAGGAACGGGGAAAACAAGGCCAGTTCCCTCAGAGATAGCAAAGGCTCAAGTGATGTATTTAAAAATAACATTAATAATAGAAAATGCACATTTATATAGTACATTCCTGAGCCTTTTACTGTCATTGAGTCCAATACCCCACAGCACTCAACCAACTTTGCCATCTGCCAGGGTGCTAAGAGCACCAGCCACGTTTTTAAGCTTCGCTTACAGTTTCCTATGTAACCCTGAAAGTGAAAAATATATCCACCCTTGCCCAAACCATTCTCTCTTTTGGAAACCTCCTTCCCCTTTCTTTGAAGTCCTCCACTGTGACTCTTCAGCTGTTAAGCTGGGATAACATCTCACACACGCACGGGGACGTGGGCTGCTCTACCCACACAAATACTTCTCCAGTTCACCTCCAGCTCGGTCTGTAACTGTCCTCTCCGTGCCAGTTCTCTGCAGCCTGTACCTCCCCTGGCTCCAACCTTGCCAGTCACTGGAGGACAAGTCCTGTCCTGCATCTATTTTAGGATTTTATGCTGCTGCACATCACTGTAGTACTTTCCACATAGGAGTAAGAATTACAAAGTCCATCATAGTAGGAATATCCCTCTTTATTCCCACAGGAAACATCACAGCTGTGACCCGAAACAATGCAGCTCTGCACTGCAAGCTCAGCTCCGCGGGAGGAAAGGAGGAAAGACAGCACTTTAGCAACTGATGTGCACCTCAAGGGGAAGCGACAGTTCCTTCCAATCACTCAAACGCCCACGGTGGGCAATCCAGTCTGCTCACCAGAGCCAAAGCCTAGGAGCTAGAGGGCTGTGCTGTGTCCTGGCTCTCCTCGTACGTCATTGTTGAATGACCCTTCAGGGAGGTAAAAAAGAGGCGTTTTACCCAACTCTCAGCAACGCTCCCGAGGCATAACCACAGAGGGCCTGACTCTCCTCTACCATGCACTTGCTCCGACTGTTTGCACCAGTGGGCAAACAGGGCACAGTTTGCAAGTACCTGCTCAACATGAAATTGCTGAGCAATTTCTGGCAAATATCATTATAAGCCACTTGTTTGGCTCCTGAAAAGTAGAAAGTTCAGCTTCCCCTGCTTCCTTACCTGTATTCTACAAAGTTTTGTTCCCCTCCTTTATTAAAAATGCCATGTTTTTCAATTAAACTAAACGGGGGAAAAAAATCCCAGCTTATTCTTTGCATATACTTAATACAACATTTATTCTGCCTCTTTCTGCCTCCGTTGTGGCTTGGCTCCCCTTGAGATCGTAAGAAAGTTTTAGAACATCAGCTCCTTGAGAAAAAATATTTTGGCAAAGTAATCCTAAAAGCTTTAAAAAAAAAAAATCTCAAATTTAAAACTACTGAATTTAAATTCTGAACCATTACCAAGATCTTACTTATTCTGCAATCTCCCGGGGACGTTGTGAGGTTTAATTAGCTCCGGTTGGAAAATGCTGTGAAGAGGAAAGCGCCATAGAGGTGCCAAATACTGCTCTGCTCACGTAGATCTAAAACGTTCAAATTATTACATCATAAAACAAATCACTTGAAAATTAATTCCTCTTCCTTGCCAGCATGACTTCAAAGGGACCTCACTTCCCCCCCTACGCTGGTAGGATCACACCACCCGAGCGCTCCAAGCTGTCCAAGTGCTGGTGACGACCAAGAATAAGAGTATTTTGAACTTCATAGCGCCTTCGAGGCCTCCTGCTCAATTATTTACCCTTGGGGTTGCCTGTCTGTGTGCGATTGCAGACAAGATTCAGGGCATTCCGACAGCAGGCGCTTGGCAACCTTTGTGAAAGAAGAACAGGGAATCGCTGCCCACTGGCTTCCAAGCAGCTCAGCCCCGAGGTCTCTCTCGAGGAACATCTGGGCACTCGGGAAAACACTACTTTTTTGCGGTTTGATAAGGATGCGTGCTTTTCCCTCGGTATACACCCCTGAATCCGGATGCAGCGGGCTGCTGGGAAGTCTGTGCAGCAAAGCAATGAACTGCAACGCAGGAGCCCTCGTTTGTTCGACTGCCGCTGCAGGAGCGTCGCGGAGCAGATCTGGCCTGCTTAAAGAACCACCGCCAAAGGTAGCAGCCAAAGTGGTTTTATTGAGGAAGATGTTGTAAAGGTGAGGCTTAACAAAGTCCGATGGCAAGGCTCAACCTACTACTTACTGCACAGAGGATATAATAACGACTCAAAGTTACCAATACAAGATTTTAATGCCCTGCGATACAAGTTTATGTGCAATATCGGTCACTTCACCAAAGATCTGCAGTTGATAAGGGGTCTCTCAACCTCCAGGAGTAACCTTGCGAGTGTCCCAACTCAAGGGGAGATCACCACCACGCAGCCAGCTGCTTAGCAGGGAGAGCTCAAGATAAGCTCACTCGGGCTGCCATATTTATGGAATAAAGTGGTTGGCTCATAGTCAAATTACGGGCGAGGGAAAAGGTAAGTATGAGACTCCTGTACCCACAACCTCCTTTGTTCCTTGACCAAATTAGTCCTGGAAGAACCACCTGCTAGTCACGTGTTAATCGCATGATCAGCATTCTGGTTTCCAAGCTCGTAGGCATCAAAGCTCACCGTGCCACCCTGTTCCTGCGTGGGTTTTCAAAGAGCAGGTTGGAACTAGAGAAGTTCATGGCCCGGTCACGGCCTAGACCTTTGCTTCCTCTAGAGCCTGAACCAACCGACCACAGGTTTGGTCAAGCACCGTATCCATCACAAAGAGCACCCACCGGCTGAAGGAGGCACGGGCGGGGAGCGCAGCAGCGCCCACACGTACCACAAATCACCCTGTTACTGCCATTCTGTGACTCTGAGCGCTGAAGTAGAGCCGCTCCACGGCGAAGCAAGGCCCTACCGCCCAGCTCTGCCTCCTGCGGTCCCCGCTCGTCTCTCAGCTCGCACCAGGGCTCTTTGCTGGCCAGCTGCAACGTGTTTGCTGCAGAAATTCTTGAGCACAGTCATCCCAGGAGACCCGCAGTCTGCACACCAGAGCTGCGATGCCCCAGGCTGACAGCTGTACCGGGGAGGAAAGCACTGGGCTGGGAATTACTGGGAATTCCCTCTGCCTACAGCGCAAGCTGTAGCTCGGACCTGCAGGACACTGAGGACCTGCAGTCCAGAGAGCGATCCCAGAACAAGGCTCTGGGGAAACTTCCAGACACCGGTTTGTGACATATGCTGACGCTACATCTTCCCTGCAGAAACAGCCTCCGGCTCTCGCGGGGCTCATCTAAAGTTCACACCGCCATGGCCCATTATTTATTCAGCGCTGCGTGTTCACTCTGCATTATCTGCAACACTTGATAATGAGATAATTTCTGGGTTTGCTTTCGCTTTGGGCTTCAGACAGAAGCTCCTCTATTTTGCATCCATGAGCCTATGTATCAAAGTATGGCAGCAAAAGACTGCAACGCTCACCAGCCGAAATGTGAAGCATCCTTCCCTGTGTGCAAACCGGCTTTGTCCTCAACCACATTCATATCTCACACCAAAGAGATCATAAAAGAACAGTCACGTATTTCCAGTCTTGCCTGTTCCATTATGACCAACTCCGTTGATTTCACGGGGGGGGGAAAAGGAAAAAAAAAAGGGTCTCCATCATTTTACCAACTTGTTTTTAACGAGTTCTTTAAAGAACACAGGGAGAAGAGCAATATTCCAGTATAAGGAAAAACAAACAAACAAAACCAGAATAAAAATAAACTTTAGGCCAGCTTCTGGACTCTGCAGTCTTGACTGACCACAAAGGACCAGTCTGACATCTTAATCAAGACCAGTAAAACTGAGCTTAATGCCCAACTCCCTTCTTGAGCTGTTCTAAAGCTCTCCAGTGAGCCCCCTCTCACTGTTGCAGAGGTAGGAGAGAGAATGTTTTCTGTAATCACAGAGAACAATTATTGCCATTTTGGATTGTACTCTCCTTTTGATCTCTCCTAGGTGAGACACTCTCATCTCGCTGTAGACTGCAAGACCTCTGTGAGAAACCTGGAACTAATCAATTCAGGGAAAAGGAGAACCCAAAGCCAAGGTCTAAACGCTACGGCCCATTGCAAAAGGATAACATATTTGCCGTGACTGGGAATTTCAAGAGCACATGATTCCAAACCCTGCTCCCATCACTCCAGTGGATTTGTTCTATCAGGGCAAGACTCAATTACTCAGCACTAACTGCCTGAAAAGCACAAAGCCGTTCAAAGCCACGTAATTACACGGAAGTGAACAGAACAGTACAGCGGGTCAAAAGCACGTCTTGCAAAAAATCTGAAAGCAAATCAGGAAAAAACCACCAAACCCAAAACACCAAACCCCTGACACTCTGCTGAATTTGGCCCCATATTCTTAGCAGGGAATATGCAAAGTGGAAACTACCCAGAGAAAGGCTAACGCTGCTCAAGTAGGGGACGTGCTCCATGCCTGAGACATTAAGGAACATCGTTAGAAAAAGGGTGAAGACGGATTAAGCGCAAAGTGGGGTGCAAAGTTCTCTGGCTTCTGTCCTTCAGATAAATCACAGCCTTTTTCACGCCCACAGGAATACAGGGACAGCAGCAAGGTGGGCTCTGATGGACTAGAAGAAACTTGTATTGATCTGCACTGTGCAAAGGAAAAAAAACCCAATCAAGTGTTGCACTTCCATAATCGAAATGGCACCTCAACCCTCAAAAAAATACAAATTCCAGAGACAAGTACGTCACTTTATCAATAAAAAATAGCACTGATAAATAAATTAATTTATATACAAAAGAAAAGAAGATATTGACACATTTTGGGGTAGAAGAAAAGTCACCTTCTCGGCCCACATGCGCTTGTTTTATTTACATATCCACAAAGACCATGAAACACCATCCCAGCCCCCCCACTAGCAGCATGGTCACATGAATTCCATAGATGAGCAGTTCATTCATGAGGCTGAAGTCTACCCGCCTTCGCCCCAGTAAGAGGAGGATGATGGAGAGTTTGTACTGGAAACGCAGAAAGATCCGGATGCCAAGGTACTGAAGGCAAAACAAGATCGAGAGTGCCACCCAGAGGATGGAGGTAAACAGGCTGCAGCTGAAGTACAGCAGGAAACGGATGAATCCGTACATCCATCGGGATTTGAGATAGATGTCGAAATTGTTGTACTTGGTGCGCACCAGGTGAGTGGTCCTCACCGGGCCACAGGCCGAATGCAGGCAGGTCGTGTGGGGGCCGTGGAACGAACGGACCCGGCGGGGAATGGGGATTACAGGCATCAGGCACCCCACCGGTCACAGAGTCCCAGGGCAGGATTTATAGGGCACATATCAGATATTATCCTTTAACGTGGAAGGGATCCAACAGCCTGGGCACGCTAACTCTTTGCTGAATTTCCAGGAAGGAAGAGACCTGCAGGAAGGCAGAGAAGGAAAACACATTTCAGTAGCCCCAGCAGGAGGAGAGGCAGCTCGGCGGACACGCTCCGGCTCGGCCTTTACTTACAACTTTGCACAACTCAACTTCCTCACTTGAAACAACTTTGCTCTGCTTCTTTGCTTCTTGTTTACTAGGCAGACATATAGAAACACAGTTCTGTTTCCATCACCACCCAGTCAGACTCCAAACAGCTCCCCAGGAGCTTAATGTCAGCACCAGTCGTCACCTGCTATAAGCGTTGCAGTGTTAACGCAGGAAAGGCAAGAAGGTTGTTCTGGAACCATCCTGGCTAATTCACAGATCCTTCTCAATCAAACAGCCATCCTGCAAGAGCTCACCCGTGCAAGCAGCAATATTAACATATGTGTTTGCATTGGATCACCTTTCTTTTAAAGGAGAAAAAAAATAATTCTCCAAACGAATTTTAGAGCCCAGACACAGCGGCGATTCTAAATTTCTGCTCCTTTCAAAACTTGGCAAAGCTTCCCCAAATAAACAACCTGAAAATAATGGAAGGGCCTGCAAGAACAATGAGGCAATCGTGTTTTTTCACACTCTACAGGATGTACCTCCCCTTGCTCAGCCGAGCCTCGCGGTCTCGCTGTCATTGCACCCAATGGCAAGGCAGCCTTTCAAAGACATCTACGAGTTTATTTCTACGTTGGGACCTGCAGAGATAAGTGAAATATCTTGATCTTCGGGAGTGTTTAGGATTTATAATCTTAACATCCTTCCACACACCCATTGTTGTTCTGTGAGTGATGAGCAGTAGCCGGTTAGCTGCTCTCTGCTTCACCCCAGGCTTATGATGGGCCAAATTCCGGGAATTATGAAGTGACAATGCACTCATCAGATAAGGCCAGGAAACAACAGGGACTTCCCCAGCCTCCTCACACACCCGGCTGCTCAGACCTGGGCAGTCTTTCCTTTGTTGGACAAGAAATCCTATTACACTTAAGATTAAAACTAAAGTAATCTTAAAGTCACTTTAATTTTTCACTTTGTTACTAACAAAACGCATCAGAGAGTAAATTACAAGGGTGCAGGAAATTGTACTTTGATATCACAAACCTCCTCTGATACAATGTGCATCACTGGGTAAGTCTCTTCACTGCTTCCTGCCTCAAATTAAATGGAAATGGCAATTCCGATCTCTTCTGCTTGGCCCCAGGTCCTAACTCCTTTTCACCATCAGAGAAATTTGCAGGCAATCTGATTGCTCTGCATGAGTCAGGGACTAGTAAAAAGCAGCACGGGTTAATTTAGGATTAAGGAATTTCGGAAATCGAGGTCTGTTCTCCATTATCAAAGACACCCTCGTAATTTCAGGTGTCTCTCTGCCATGATTTCCTGCCTGTAGGAAGGAAATACTAAGCAGCTCGGAAGTGTGTTACAAGAATGTATTTTGCAAGACACAAACTGGTCAGACACTAAACCAAGGCTACTTAAAGCCAACGGTTTTGTGCCTGGAGCATGCAACGGAACATGCTTCTCACATGCTGTGTGGACACTGCTCAGCGTTTGCTTTCAGAGGTATTTCTGGAGGACAAAAGTAGCAAGATAGGTTAAAATTCACACACTCTGGATTCAGAGCATTCGATTTCTGACGATGCAGCCTCTCCTTAGAGCCTTGCAGCTTATCATTCTCCAGCAAACTCTTACATGGCTCCTTCCTCCGAGGCCCCGAGCAGCCACAGGGAAATCAGCACACACACACGTTAGAGCGCCCAGCGAGACCGAGCACGGACCCTGCTTGCACAAGCTGTGGTTTGTGGGGGCAAACTCAACACACTGGCTTCATGTCTGAGCCCTGTTTTAGAAGCAGAGTTTTGATTCTGATGAAACCTTCCACAAATAAATCCCAGAGAATCCCCCAAACAGCTCAGCTGCGGAGACTTCCTCTCTGCGAACAGCAGCTCGTGCCCTTTTACTGTGCCCACCACACAAACAAACAGCCTTTGGCAGGCTCGTGCTCTTTAGATAAACTCCAATATCCACACTGGGACAGCCACGAGCAGAGGGACACTGTGAGAATAAAATAAACTTTCTGAAATATTACATTTTTAAAGGTGCTGCCATCCACTCAGCAGAAGGTCGGTAATCCGCTGCCGTTTCTGGATGCCACTTAATTCTTGTAACAAAAAAGTGAAGTTTTCCTGTGACACCTGGCCTTCTAGGAGGAGTGAAAGAAACTGCTAAGGTGCTTCATAGACTCACAACACTCTACATATGAGTTGATCTAAAAGATAAAACGAGAGAGTAAGTTTCAATTTGCTCATTTTGTGGGTTAAAAAGTTCAGAATTGCAAGGCCCCTCCCCAAGCATGAATTTTTAAGCCCATAAAGAATCACACACTCAGTAATACCTGTATGACAGCTCACTGGTACATGCTGGGAAGAATCAGCGAGCTTGTGCTCAATGCCATACTCAAAGACAGGAGAGAAAAATCACTAAGATCTCTCAAGTCCCCATCTCCCATCCCAGAGCCAGCCCCGTCCCTCCAGGGCGTACGGAACACGAGGCAGCCAACGTTCTCCACCCCAAACAGGGAAGGGGGGGGCCCCCAAACCCGCACGTTGGCACATGACACCTAGAAACAGATTTTGACGTCCGTTCCTCGAGACCTTTCTTTAGGTCTTTTCTGTTTTCAAGCATGTTGCTGTGAGGCTGGAAAGCCAATTCAGTCTCTCCTGGGTATCATCCTCCAGCTCAAAGGATTTCAACAATAAGGCCCAGGCAACTCGATGTCAGCCATGCTGCCGTTACCCCAAGCACCAGCACGTTAATGACGGCCTCAACAGGAAGTTAAAAATCTGAATAACTGTTCACTTGGGTGAGTTTTCACTCCTTCTCCTTTAAAAATGGAGCGTAGGGTGAGAAAGCTGCGGAGCTACTGCTCTTCACCTCTCACACACTCTGGGCAAGGTCTGCTGTTGCTCTGGGTACTCATAATTCGTGAAGGAGGAGGGATGACAGAAAGACTGCAACGTTCACAGGTGACAGGACCATCAGTCAGGACCAACAGGATCAAAGTGTTCCAGAAGGAGCCAAACGAGGTTAGGGACAATGACAAATAAAGGTTAGTGCTGATGAACGAAAGCAGGGAGCACCGGAAGGTGGGGAAATTCCAACTCCTCCTACATCCTACCAGCTCCTAAATTAAAC